TCCACGGCCGGGCTTCGTCTGTGTCGCTGGCCCCCGATCGTCACTGTCGACCGGGGTCGGATTCCGTGCGTCTGGTAGCGAGCGTAGCGAGGCCACTCCCCCGCAAGCGAGCATTTGCTCTAGAGCAAATTTAATCCAGCTGCGTTCACACGTGCACATTTGTTTCGGCGTAGCGTCGCAAACGAGCATTTGCTCTGGAGCAAATTTTTAAACCACCTCCCTGAGGTGGATCAAATTTGGTCCGGTATAAGCTCTTTAGTGGAGCTACGCCGGAGCAAATGTGCACGTGTGAACGCTCGACTGGATTTATTTCGGAGCTGCGTCGGACCAAACGTTGCCGTGTGAACGGGGCTTTAGTCTTCCTCCTACTCTTAATATGCCGTCTTGAAGGAACGGGACAAGCTGATAAAGTTGGTGGTTACAAGGCAGTTTTCCTGATTTGTCGCTAAGCATGTTCATCTCCTTTTGGAAGACATCCTTTTGTGTCAGTTTAACAAGGGTCAGTGTAGCTTGCCTTTTTTCTTCGACATTTAAAGGTTTTGATTCTCTTGGCTAGCCGTTGGATGCGAGCAATGACATTCACTGCTGTTGCCCATTTTGAAATCCGTGACAGAAGCTCTTGTATGTCAAATTGCCTTACAGCCTCTGTCCTTAACACTTGTACAATCCTCACCTCCGGATCTCCCACCAGTAACTCAGGTGTCACCTCGATTGTGGCTATATCTCTTTCCCATAAAAACCTTGGACCGGTGAGCCAATTTGAGTTGATGAGACCTGCCACGTTCAGGCCTCTGGAGGCATGGTCTGCAGGGTTGTCTCCTGTGTCGATGTAGTACCACCGCTTTGCATCACTGTTTTGTCGAATTCTCTGGACCCGATTTGCAACAAAGACATGGAATCGTTTAGCGTCATCGTTAATATATCCTAGAACCACTCGAGAGTCTGTCCAAAAGTATTCTTCATCTATTTTGACTTCCAACTCCTCCCGTAACATCTTGCTCACGGCTGCTGAGGTTACTGCTGCGCTTAGCTCCAGTCTTGGTATGGTGAGTATTTTGGTTGGAGCCACTCTCGCTTTGCCAATGACAAAGGAGCAGTTCACATTCTCTTCGCTTAACAACCTGATGTAGCTACACTGACCATACCCTTGGCTGCTAGCGTCAGAAAAGTGGTGAAGCTCAACTCTCTGTACCTTGCCAAACCTGTCCGGTATAAAACATCTTGCAATGTTGATTTGATCAAGGTTCTCCAAATCCTCTAGCCAAATCTCCCACCTTAACTTTAAGTCCATAGGTAGTAGATCGTCCCATCCTGTACCTCTCTGACACATCTCTTGTAGTATCCTCTTTCCTTCAAGGATGAATGGAGCTAAAAATCCGAGAGGATCGTATAAAGAGGCTACAACGGAAAGAATCCCTCTTCGTGTGGTGGGTCTTTTATCTAGTGACACCTTGAAGGAGAAACTGTCACTTTCGATCTTCCATCTTACCCCAAGCGCTCTTTGCACTGGTAAGTCGTCAGGCCTGAAATCAACATTCTTCACGTCCACAGCACATTCTGCTACATTGATTGAATCTATCACTTCTCGGTTATTGGAAAGGAATTTGTGGAGGTGTAGGTTTCCTCTTGCACACAGAGCTTGAGCCTTTTTTATAAGCTCTTTCGCTTCAACAACTGACTCCACGCTTATGAGTCCATCATCAACATAGAAATTTTTTCGAATGAAACTAGCTGCATTGGGGAACTGTTTCTCATTAAGGTTGGCAAGGCATTTCATGGCATAATTGGCACAGCCAGGGGAAGATGATGCTCCAAATAAATGCACCTTCATCCGGTATTCTGTGGGTTGTGAATCTAAGTCTCCATTTTCCCACCAGAGAAAACGCAGATAATCTCTGTCCTCCTTTCTAACATGAAACCTGTGAAACATTTTTTCTACATCACACATGATTGCAACAGGATGTTTACGGAAACGACATAGTACAGCTGTGAGGCCATTTGTAAGGTCAGGTCCTGTTAACAGATGGTCATTTAGTGAGGTGCCTTTGTACTTTGCAGAACAGTCGAAGACCACGCGGATCTTGTTAGGTTTACGGGGGTGGTACACACCTTGATGTGGGATATACCAAAGATTGCCGAGTTCTGGTTGGCTGTCTACTTTCTCTGCATCACCATCTTTAATGATGCCTTCCATAAACTTCAGATAGTCACTTTTGAACTTATGATCTCTGTCCAACTTCCTTTTAAGTTGTTTCAGTCGTGCCAAAGCCAGCACCTTATTGTTTGGGAGGTGAGGTCGTGCTTTGAAAGGAAGTGGCATTTCGAGGTGGCCGTGTTCATTTTGTTGGAGGCCTCCTTTTAATATTTGCAGAAAGAGAATGTCATCTTGAGATATGCTTTTTTCACCTGCTTTTGTGTCTGAAAAATCAGACTCAAGGGCTTTAATGACGGCTGATGGTGTTACGGGTGGTAACTCTTTGACAGATACTCGAAGACAAAGTCCAGTCACATCACCTGTGTTTACGCATCGTGCTACTCCTCCCACAATACTCCAGCCGAGATCGGTTTTGACAGCGTAAGGCTCGTAGTCACCTCCAGTAATGACCTCTCTTGGAATCAAGGCTCGGGAGCAGTCATAGCCAATCAATAATCTAACGCCACAATCCATTGGTGGGGGTATCTCCTGAGTTATGTTAACAAGATGTTTCCATGAAGTGGCTGTTTTGCGGGTAGGAATATGTGTCCGGTCAAGAGGAATGAAGTCTCTTGTGTAGGCCGGAGGTAGGTCAATGGAAATATTTGAGGAAAATCCTCTTACTTTAAGTCCACAAACTCTTTCTCTTTTTATCACTGAGTCCTTTCCCAGCATCGTGGAGAGTTTCAGTTTAACTGGGTCCATGTCTACCTTAAGCTTTGCGCATAATTCTTGATCAACAAACGTGTGGCTGCTTTGTGTGTCCAACAGCGCATAAGCTAGGGTCTCTGTATCAGGTGCGTTAGGTGCTGAGATCCAGATGGGCACAATCATTGATGTACTCTCAACATCACTTCCCTTGACACAACAAGATAGTGAGGATGTACTTTCTTCAGTGGTGTTTTGTGCTGAGGCTGTCTCCGTTGGAGAACGATCTTCATGTAATGCGGTTGGATGACTCTTTCGGCATACTCCACACATGGCTCTATTTTTACAGACCTTAGAATTGTGACCCCTTCTCAGGCATGCAAAACATAGCTTATTTTCATAGATGTATTTTCTCTTTTCCTCTAAAGACATTTTCATAAGCCTCTTACATTTATGTAGAGAGTGCTCTTCTCCACAGCATATACATATGCCTGGATTTTCGGCATCTCGTAAATTGTTTTCATTGGGGTCTTGATCGGCTGTAGAGACTTGCGGATCTGGGATCCTTACCTTTGTAGCAAATGTGTTTGCTTTTGAGTGCCTACCTCCCTTTTCTGTCATTTCAGTAGTTGTCTTAATGCGTATAGAGACGACACTGGATTGCAAGCTCTGCGTGCCTCTTTAGATATAAATGTCGCAAAGTTATGGAAACTTGGATAGTCTTGACCTTCATCTAGCTGCTCTGTGACATGACGGTTCCACCTGGATGTTACCCAATCTGGTAGTTTCACCAGCATTTTCTGGTTCTCCTCACAGTCATTCAAAACTTGCAGACCCTTTATGTAAGGCATAGCATTACTACAAGTTTGGAGGAAATCGCTGAATTCTCTCAATTTGATATATTCCTTCCCACCAATCTTTGGCCATCCATTGAGTTTTTCTCTGAAAGCCCTCTGCACAATGAAGGAATTACCATATCTGGTGTTGAGTCGATCCCATGCTTGCTGATAGGCTTCTTCATCTCTTCTATAAAAGCTGCCTTCAAGAGAAGATTTTGCCTCCCCTGCTATGTACCTTTGTAAATAAAACAACCTATCTGCAGGGTTTGAGCATCGCCTCTCTATCAGAGCTTTGAAGCTTGTACTCCACTCTATAAAGTTCAGAGGATCACCTGAGAATACTGTAGGCTCTGGGTTTGGAAGACGACTGAGTGCTAATGATTCCTGTAATGTCTGAACCAAGGTTGTGTCATTTTGTACAGTTGGCTGTTCATGATGTGGGGAATGGGGAGAAGAAGGAAATGCAACATTCTCTTTGGTGTGTATGGGGCTGCTTGTCCCATTCCTCTCCTTGATTTCCTCTTCCTCATACACACTTAAATGTGCCTTAATTACTTCGATGTCTCTGATTTTCAAGTTTTTTCAACTGCTGGCGTTGGGCCTCAATAGCTTCTTCCATGTCAATCTCAGCTTCCTTCGCAGCCAGAAGAGCAGCCATTTCGGCCCGCTTAACTGAAATGCTTGGTGATTCGGACGTGTGCTGGGAAGGCTTGGCACTGGGTGCTGTAACTATGAAGGCGGTGGAACCACATATGGACCTGGCATATTCATTATCTAGCAGCATGTGTAATTTTGCGTTTTCTGCCACAGCATCAAAATCATCTTCATCTTCTGTTAGACGGATTCTCATTACTTGCAGTAGGTCTGCTGTTGCCGCTACACATGCATCAACTTTTCGCCGTAATTCTTGACTTGGTGTTGTCTGACTTCGGACACTGTCGTATATTTCTTTTATCTCACCCTCAAGCTTCTCAACTTCATCCATCATGTCGTACATGTCTTGCTCAGGGCACCATTGTTTTAACTTTCTTCGGGTTTCTCGAACATAACTTTTCCATTTCTCATATGTTACATTCAACTTGCCTTCCTTTTGAATGAAATCTTTCTCTTTTAGTTCCTGCATTTTAGGTGTCAAATGTCTTAAACGAGAGGATTTTCTTATTTTTGCCTCAGCCGCCCTTTCCACATTTTCATGCTCTTGCATCTTATCACACTGACTGTCGCTATTTTGAGACATTTTTGGAGCTTTCAAAACTTCAGAACCTGAGTTTTATAGATTTATAGAAACCAAGTAATTTGAGTTGCAGCCCCTAATCCTATTCTATCAATGCTGTTACATTGTTACTTGTCAAACATTCACAGATATTTTCACAGATTCAAGAACTCACATTCATTAGTTCCTCAGTTATGATAATCTTTGTCTATTTTCTATCCATCTACTTTGTGAGCTACTGGAAGCTGTATAGGCCTTTGCCAACTCTGGTTAATGTCCACCTAAACCTTTAGCTGCTACAGGATGAGAAGCAACGTCGCGCGTTGAAATCTTGCCTTACTGCCGGTTGAGGAGCGACGATGCATGCCGAGGCCTGTAGCTTGCTGCCGGTTGAGTGCGACGACGTTCGAAGTAGCTCGTGGCTAGCTGCGTGGCACGCGGGGTTGAGTGTGACGACGCTCGATGTAGCTCGTAGCTTGCTACGTGATGTGCGCCGAAGCCTCCAGAAGGATGGATGAGGACACGTTTTCACTGTAACTACCCCGGTCAAGGATGATGCTTCAACTGATGTCCAGAAAAACGTTTAATCTTGGAACACCGTGAAAACTAAAACACATTTCAAACAACAATCAAAATTACAATATCTTGAACAAGACATTAAATAAATAAACACAAAATGACATACCGTGTGCACCTTAGTAAACCGAAAGTAGATCAAATTAAATCACGGAGACCACACGGTATCGTAGCTCTGTCTCTGTCTCTCTCTCTCTCCAGTTTTCTTCTCGATCTTTCTAATTCCTCACTATCCGCGGCACGTGACCCGGAAGTGATTCTTAACAAAATATTCCAAATAACATATTAAGAGGATTTAAAGAAAAAACAAATGTGAAAATTCACATAGAAATATAAAGTACTTTTAGAAAACAACAAGCCTAAATAAATGTATTTTCGTTGTCATGGCAACCAACGACTCAATACTGGCGCCAGTTACAGTAAGCATGTCTCCAGTAAGGAGCCATTTTGGGGTTGACATATTACCGTAATGACCATAAACAAGGCGCACTGGATTTTAAGGCGCGCTGTGAGCTTTTAAGAAAATGGAAGACTTTTCGGTGCGCCTTATAGTGTGGAAAATACGGTACTGTATATTTTTTTAAACCTCACCAAAACGTGCAACACAAAGCAAACAGTGTAAAGCCTATATCATATCTTTCTGGGCTGATCTTTTTTTGAACGGGTAATTTAATGGTGTGGTATTTGTAAATACAGTAAATATTCTCTAGTGCGGACTCGTGTTTGCGCTGTCCAATTTGTCCTGATAACAGAAATTCCTCATTTGGGAAATGAGCATGGTACATGTCCTTTATGAACCTGCAAGTATGTTGACAAAAATGCAAGTGTAACAACACATTCAATAAAATCCAAAAATATACTGTCAAAAAACTTTTGTAAAACAAAAACTGCAATACAGGTGTGTCCAAAAAGAATCATAACAGTAAAATACGTACAGTATTTTAATGTTAATTTTTCTTCTGTCTTGGGAAAAAAAGTGTGTCTATTTTGGATTGTTTGGTTGGATGCATTCTTTGGTTTATGACAATGTTTGCCTGCGTGTCATACAGTTTTGTTGCTAGTTGCAAGTAACTGTCCCGTTGATCACCGATGTCTGGTAATTCTTGTGCATACTGACGGATTTTTGTTGCCATTTTGCATTGCTTCCTCGCTGGATGGTGGCTTGTCATCAGGAGTTGAATCGATGCCTTGTTTTTT